CATGAGTGTGAGTGTGTACGTGTGTCTGTGTATGCTGGATATGGGCCTTAATGCATATCCTGTAACTCTTGGATGGGAATTCAGGCCTTGTGTATTGTATAAATTGCCCCCCAGCAGCACCCCATTTATGCATGTTCAGTTTAGTACAGCCCCCTGGTTTTATATACATATATATAGGGCTTATTTAGCCTTGTACTGCAGAGAGCCCCAGGTGAAATTTGTTCCTCTAGTAAATTGGTTAATCTCATAAGAGCAGACATTAGGCTGTTAGAGTAGGACCTGCCAAAGATGGGGTACATTGATGTTGTGGCAGGCTTATGCAATGTATGATCATATAATGTAACTAAACCTCCATTATTTTTGCCTAGATTAGGTGTTTTTTAAAAAACAAAATATTTCAACATTGAAGTTGCTGTTCAGTGGATAGGTGAGTGCGCTGGATCTTGTGTATTGTATACATTGGCCCCTAGCAGCACCCCATTTATTCATGTTCATGTGAGTGCAGCCTCCTGGTGTCATATATATATATATAAATAATCCACAATCCTGCACTCACATTCTCTTTCAGCCAAATCAACATAAATCTCCGCAAAGAAAGGCACGCGCTGGGCTCTTTGAAGAAAACTATTAGTTTTTTTTAATAACACACGGGTTACAGCAAATCGACGTTTCAGTCCATCATAGGACTTTCATCCTGAAATTTTGGAGGTATACATTTGTTTGGAAGGTATACATTTCATTGTTCACTTTCAATATACAATTTGTTCAATTAAACTTTAGTGTGCAAAAAAATATTCTTCCAAGAATCCAGCAAATGTTGAAGATACATTGTGTTACATTGTATTGACATATTTTCTAAATCAAACAAATGTTTTACAGTTTTATGATCGTGATGATTCCATATAAACATTTACAGCACTGGAGTAATGGATACATAGATCTCAAGTTTAATTTTTAGGGCACGTTTTCTAAAATGCTCAGTTAAGCCAAGGAAGCTATGTATGTCTACCTGGCTATACTCAATAAGTGTGTCATCCATTATTTCAGAGCAGATCACAAAGAAAAAGAATACATCAGGAATATTGGGCCTATTGTAATGCATGGACATGGAGCTTCTATAGCCGCTATGTTAACATGGCCTCGAACGTCTGAAAATCTTGCAGCAAATTTGTCAAATTTTAATAATTATGTTTACTTTGCTTTCTTTATCCTGCTGTTCTGCCACAAAATGAAATGGAGCTTGTTATATATTTTTAAAAATAAAATGTCAAGATACCAACTGGAAAAAAAAAGAAAGGAAGTAACCAGAAATAAAATATTTGTGAAGTGTGTTACTAATCTATTCTCCCATAATCGCTTCAAGATAAGTGGGAAGCTAAGCACTGGGGGTCGTTACACCTGATCTGTGAAACAATTGTCGGGAATCTTGTTGCTATTTGCTGGCCATTTAAATTCAGTTCACAGTGTTCTTATGAAATCTGAGATTGTGGCAGCCCAAATGTACGATCTGTTAGGTTTTTTTTCTATTCTATCTTTTCCCCCCTAAATATGGTTGAGCAGTTTGCTGTATAGGGAAAGCTTTAGCAGCACAGCACAGTTTCCAACCAATTCTAGCTGCAGCATAGGTGACCTTGACATCACAGGCAGGGCTGGATATGATTTAGGGTCATTTCTAAGGAGTCTTTCTACACCTTTTATTCTTCCTGTCATTCGCCAACAATTTACCATTTTATTATTTTTCTTTTTAAAGTTGCATTGTAATACTCCCTTCAAACCCAGTCAAAAGATATATTGTGACACAGTAGAAGTAACTTTGTCTCACTATTTTTCCTCAGCCTGATTAAGCTTGACACAAGGCACAGCTACAACCGTCAAGCCTTTTCATCTCCCCTAGCCATCATGAGTGACAGCTGTAGGGAAATGAACTTGTTCTATGGAGGATTCCTTGGTCTAACACAATCCTCCATTAACCTCAGCAAAGCTCCTGGCAGATGAAGTGCTAAGAGCTGTAGTGGAGTGACAGGAAGACAATGACAGTACCCGTGAGGGACAGGTTCAGGTGAGTAAATATCTCCTTTGCCTGCCGCCCCAGCCACTGGATCCTGAAGCAGCTTTGTCAACATTGGAGGTCTTTGCAATTTATGCAAAGACCCCAGACACTGATCTGCTTTAAAATATATATGTTATTGCCATGTCTGCAGCTCTTTGGATTATTCTATTGTTAATGTTGATCAGTTGCACACATTTTTTTTTATGATTTATGGCCTGTTTAGATGTTGGGGTACTCCCAGACGGAATAAAAAAAAATTAAATAGATCTACTTAACTTATTTTTCTGGCACCAATCTCAGCTGATCCAATGCTTCCTCAGAGGGATGCATGGTGTGTGTGTGTGTGTGTGGGGGGGACGACTAGTGCCCATGCGTGCCAATCACCATGCTTTGCCAATCAGCATCTCCTTGAGTAAACATTGACTCAATGCATCTCTATGAGAGTTTGGCATCTTCATGCAGATTGTGGAACCACAAAACATTGATCCTGCAATCTCTACAGGACTGCAACAAGGAAGACCCTAGTGGTTGTCAGAGTGACAGACACAACAGGTGGTATTACACAGCAATGTGAGCACTGCCTTTGCTCAGAAAACAATGCAGAGCTGGATGGACAGTCTCTTTTACTCAGATCTACTACATTAAGATGTAGTGGTTCTGGGGTTTAGACTGTCGCTTTAAACTTGGGAAACCCCACATTCATTCTCAAACATTAGCCTTAGATAAATTTTAAGCTATAGCACTAAAATGTAAATGTAATCCCAGGACATCAGTACTTGCATCGGGATTTGTGTTACCTGCATTTCATATGCCCACCTTTCTATTTGTAATCACTAGGTGGAACCAGTTACAGAGGCCATTATGGAATACCCTGTTATACTTGAGTTTTCCTTTTCCATCAAAAGGAAAATCATTGGGTCTCTTGACTGAAGTTATGCTGCTGGCAGTAATCCAATTGTGTCTACCTACTCTACAAAAAAACGAACATGTGGTAAGTTAAAATCTAGATGTGATGGGGAAACTGCTGAAATACAGTTAACAAAAGCGGAGGATCAAATTTTTGCTGTTAAGATAAACAGTTAAGATTATGCATTAATTATGAATTACTGTAAATATTGCAACTTTATTCACCTCCAAACACACTAGCATGAATAAAAGTTGAAGATGCAGGAATATCCCATCCTTCTCAGTGCTAATAACTATTGTGAATGACCAAAACCCCCATTACTATTGCATCCAAATTATTGCCCAAGCTACTTTTTTCTGTTACTCTTTGCATTTCTTCCATCTCTGAACACTATTCTGTTCTCTCTCATTTTTCTTCTTCTAAAGCCCCTCTTTTCTCTCCTATTTCTCATTGCCTTCACCTATCTTCTAGTCCTCCAGCTCCCCATTGTTTTTTTTTTACTGTTGACCTTATCTTTATTATAGTAAGTGCCGAGATAAACTAGACACTGAGGACTTTATTTTTTTAGAACATTCACACCAATGATATGCTACAGCAAACGGGGTTAACTGGTTACAAGAAAAAGCTTGAGAACACTGAGGTCGCAGCGTAAACATTAAATTAATTCAACGCTACAAGAGCTGTTACAGTTTATGTTGGGAATAATACACTTTGCCTATATTTACCCAGGGCTTAAGATACAGATGACCGGCTGGCCAGTCTGTTTAAAATTGGTTAACATGTCAGCTATTTGCAGTAATGTATTTTATCTATATCCAATGTTAGTGAATATACCCCTAGACAATAAAGATAGCCTGTGTTCTTCTGTCTGTCGGCCTTATTTCCTGTTTTTTTCCCTTTGATCATAACTGCATAGTAATGTGTAATTTAGAACTTAGTAGTAAATATCTGTAATTCGTAGTGTGCGTGCATATTAATTTGAAGTGTGTAGTTACAGTGAAATTTAGCTTTGAGCAAGGCCTAAACATGAAGATACACCTGCAAGCTTGCTATAGGTTAAGATGTGAAGATAAGATAGATGATTTTGTTAGGATTAGATAATGCTTGTAAGACCACCCCTGTTTCCTCTTGAACATAAACACACACAGCTCATTAAATGTGAGAAGTCACTTTGAACCTTGCATTGTCTTGTCTTGTCTTGTTCATTGGGGGCTCCTTGCCAGCTGGTTTGGGGACAAGGAGAAATACAGAGAGTTGCAAATTGATACAAAAGACCATGGCAAGGGAAAATTCCTGACGGAGAAAATTCCTCACTATCGGTTTACAAACCTAAATTAGAGATTTGTTTAATTTGCAAAGGTAGATTAAACAGCAACGACTATATGTTTAGCACTGATTCCAAACATGTCCAACAGCTCAGTAGGCTTCCAGCTTAAAGGTTTCTCTTAACTGTGAGGCTCTGAACGATGGACCCCCGGTTGTCTGGCTACAGCTGCTTCTCAAATTCCCCCTTCTTTGTAGTAAAGATCTCCACTTTTTAAACAAAACCATGAGTTGCGAATTACAAAAGACCAATGAACACAAGCCAACCATGGACTGTATAGTTCCAACCTTGGGGTCTTACCAGCATGCATTGGTTCTGGTCTACAAGTTGGTGCAGTACTTATAAGTGTTCTACCACAAAGGGTGTCTGCAGAAATGCATGGTGTCGTCTAAAACATGGTGCCTGTCCATACACCTTTGTATTTTGGGAATTCTGGGATAATTGTGGAAACATGATTTCTCAGAATTGCAGACTTTTTCCAAAGCCCATATTGAGATATATAGATGAAATGCAAAAGTAAAATCTGAATTTGTATCAATTAGAGGAGAGTTTATCATATTTTTGCTCCTACCACAAATTTTTCAATTTGTATATTATGCAGTTATCCACTCTTCTCACTCGAACAATTCAATACAAATTTATTCACCTAAAAATTTTTAAATACATTATAAATAAATTATTGTTTTTTTCATATTTTATAAATAAATTATAGTTTTTTTCTACATCATGTCCTCCATGGTCTTCGCTACTTCAAACAGCTGCATGATCTTAGTCGATGATACACATCCTTCACGCAGTATTGTGACAATGCCTAAAAAGGAGATTTGAACAATTTTAATATATTCCACAAAACAATACATGGATTACTAAGGACACATTTCATGTGCAAAAACTTACAGATGTTTACAGAGTCTATACAGATGTGTAAACTGCAATTGGATAAGTACTTGCAAAAACATAACATACAGGGATATAATTTCTAATTAGTGGGGTAATAGCTGCTTGATCCAAGGAGACATCTGACTGCTATTTTGGGGTCAAGAAGGAATTTTGTCCTAGTTTGTTGCGAAACTGGAAGCGCTTCAGACTAGGTTTTTCGCCTTCTTTTGGATCAACAGCAAAAACATATGTGAGGAAGGCTGAACTTGATGGACGCAAGTCTCTTTTCAGCTATGTAACTGTGTGTAAGTCACATGCAGGGGATGTGTGACTAGGGCTGCATAAACAATAAACAAAGTGATTTAACTAATAAATGGCAGAGAATTGAGCAGTGAGACTGGAGAGGCATGATCTATATATCAAAACTGCTTCATTATGCTAAAGTTGTTTTTGTGCCTATAGTATCCCTTTAAGTAAATAAAGAATGCACTTTGGAGTTAAGACCAACAAGTATTTCTTTAAACCAGATACATCTTTATTTCATATGGTCAATACCCAAATCACACTCCTCTTACAGAAGGAGCAAAGAGAGAATATAATGAGGGCCGACATACTGTATTTTGGGAATTATAAGACATTATATAAGTACATCAAGGCATTTCTTAGTTAATACAACTCACCTTCATCTATCTTCAAGCAATTTACTACAGTAGATCCTACAACTTCATTGGAAGTTCCATCACAAAGAACTGCATCGAGCTTGTCACTCAGACGTCTGAGAGAGAAAATGTACAAATGGAAATGGTATTACTAAAGGTTCTAGCATTCCTTGCATCATCTCTTATACCATAAAGACCCACTAAAAATAATAAACGTTTATGTTACGTACGATATAACCATGTCATGGTGAGTGCTGTCAGACTCTCCACTTGGATTGGCCGAGGTAATAGCCATTGGGCCTGTTATATCAGTGAGGTGAGAAGTGACAGTGTGGTCAGGAACCCTTATCATGATAGACTGATGTGTCCCAACTTGGTCATATGCAGGACCTACACCTAAGAGATAGAAAAAGCAATAATTACACATCCAGACACAATCAGTTCAAACTGAATTAAATCACAAGGGCATTTAAAGGGACACTATAGTCACCAAAACAACTTTAAATAGCTTAATAAAGACATTTTTGTTTATAGATCATGCCCCTCAGTTCTCAATTCTCTGCCATTTAGGAGTTTAATCACTCTTGTTTCTGTTCATACCACCCCAGCAACACCTGCCCTGGCTTTGACTGACACAGCCTGCATGAAAATAATGGTTTAATTGTCAATCAGATGTTGACTTACTTTAGACGTTTTTATATTCTGCTCTGTAAATTGAACGTTAAAATTGTATCTTCTGCAGGGCCTAGTAAGCTAATAACAATGCAGGAGATAAGAAATGTTTAATTAAACAGAATTCACGATTAAATTGTGTATCAGAACAATTTCAAATAGCACACTGACAGCAGTCTGCTCTTTTAAATATTTAGGTATCTTTTGGCCTTCATATTGAAAAAATCTCTTCAAACCGTTACCCAATACTAGGTGCCCTGTACAGAAACAAATGTTAAAAGAGCTAAACTGACTCTCGCTGGAATCCTGACGCACTCTTCATCTCTCCAGCCTTATGCATAAGAACATATTTGGGAATCTCCCACCCTACGTGAGTAGAATGCTCTCCCCAGCTGTTCCCACCTCCTATAACCTCCGATCCAGTACTAGCACGATATTTAGCATACCACAAAACAAAAATAAAGTGGCTCGATCCTCCTTTTCCTAGAGAGCACCGCAATTCTGGAATAACCTCAGGGACACAGTAAAATCTTCATTCAATCTAAAATCTTTTAAGAAATCTTTGGCAACATACCTCAGCACAGAATGCACCTGTCATGGTTGACTATATTTATTACCTATTATGTATTACATTTATATATTTGTATGTATATATATATAGTTTGTATATTGTATTTTTGTAATATTGTATCCTATTGTAACAATGCAATATTTTGTGGACAAAGACCCTGGACATACTTGAAAAGAGAGAAATCTCAATGTATCCATCCTGGTAAAATATTTTATAAATAAATAAATGCATTTGTTGGTTCATTTCAGACTGGAGTCATATACATTTTACATACTTTTGGACTGCATGTGTACATTATGGCTGAAAGAATGCAGAACTAGAAGGTTTCCCTCAGATTAATGGAAATTTGGAAACCCTGGAGACAAATTAGAAATTTAACACATACATTGTAACTAAGTTAAATCTTCAGACATTGATAAGGAGCTATAAAGTTTTGACTATAATATCTATGGACTTGTAATAAGTGGGGGGATGTGATTAACAGCCAAACTGTATGCCAATGAAGTGTTATTGTGTTCTAATACAGGGATTCAAGCGCCCATTCTACCCTTAGGCAATAATGGAGTCCTCTGTGAAGCACATGGCCTTTCACCAGGCAAAACCAGTTGGGTTGTTGATAAACTCCTCCTCCATTCCCTTCCAATGCAATACCCCTTCCCCCAGGAGGCACTCTGGTTCTGTTACATCCTAAGGGATTGACTAAGGGAGGTGTGTCCAGCAGAAGGAGGGGCTAACCTGTTTAAAGCCCTGTGAATAACACATTTTCTCTCTCTTTGAATTACCTCTCTTCACCTTCTCTCTCCTCTCTCCCCTCTCCCCACTATACACACTCTCTCTCTCTCTTACTCTCAGCTGCTGATCAATGGAGTGGTAACTGTATCACGTGTCTATGCCTGTTTTATTATGTTAATTTAGCCTACTTTCCATTCAGTCAATGATTAGTTTTAGTAGCAACATATACTAGCCTATTTCAAATGTATATGTATTGTTTATTTGTTTGATTAGCCTTTATTAATAAATATTATTGAATTGCCGAAAGCAAGGAGTGTGGACTCTGACTTTACACTCGGTTTTTAAGTTATTATTTTTAGTTATTAATGTTATTATTAATTCCAAGTTCATTCCAACTTGCGAGTTAAACGTTTATTACAGGACTTCAAATAGAATCAAGTATACTAAACAAACAAATGATACCTAACAAATGGGATGCAGGATTTGAAAGCAGTGGAACATGCCATGAAAGTTTGGTTTAAAATATGCGGGTGTGACCGTGTGTATGGATAAGAAGCGTGAGGTTGTCTGTCTCCATGCCTAAGGCCGTATGGTGAAGCTTTGCTTACCCAATTTTTTTAGCCACTCCCCTTTCTGGACAATGCAGCTGATTCCCCCAGGGTAAACTAGGTCCATGAACCTCCAGAGAAGGGGGCTGAATGGAGGATTAATCACTCTCAGCTGATCGAGGTTAGAGATACAGATGCAGACTGGCTTTTCAGTAGGCCGTTCCTGTAAAGGGATGATTGAAATGTCAATGTCAACTGACTTAGTAATTAAATTAAAACATGCATCACATTCAATCTGAATGGCAGATCTGAGGCTAAAACAGCTGATTTGGAGAAATCCTCAAATGGCTATAGTCACAGCTTGGCTATATTAGCCTCAGTTTTGCCATTCAGATTTAATTTGATAACATTATATGTTTAGTGAATAACCCTGCAAATATGCAACTAATTAGAGCAAATCACTGTTTTAATGCCATTATAAATGTAGGACACATAGAGAGACGTACCTAGGATATCTGGCAAACTGATTCGAAATGTATTCTGGAATTCCCCAACCCCCTACCCCAATCCCCTCTGTCCCCGCACCCAAACTGTAGATTTTTATTTATTTATCTATTTAGTCTCTCTACAATTTTCCTTAAGCTATTTTGTTAGGGAAATTACAAACACAAACATTCACGTTTATATACACGCACACACATACTCACATTCATACACACTCGCACATTTAGTTTTTTATTTTGACTTTCATCCCTGGTATCTAGTGGTTTGTGCTGGGATCAGTGTATTCAATGATGGCACAGCTGCTTGCAGCTCTGTTCTGTATGTCTGCACATCTGTGCATGCCAGAGCTGGGGTATTGTTATATTCTGGATCTGTGTTTAGTAGCCAAAATTAGCAGCTGTGCAGCCCAAACACAGACTGATTCCATCAGCTCCCTTGATGCCTGCTTAGCAGTCTGTTATGGGGTAACTCAGGCAAATCAGGCACTTGCTGTTTTGCTCTACCTCCGGTATGCAGGTGTCTGTCACCTGGCGAGGACGGATTCACAGCCCACCTTCCACCCCCCGTTAACACACTACTGAACACACAAGAGGCATATTTAATCAAGTTATCATTCAAATTCATTAACTTAGCTGACAGAGAATTTAAATTCACTTTGAATTGGCTTTGAATTCTCACTTCAATGAATAACCTTGATAGTTACAAAGTTATATAGAGTGAAAAAAGTACTCAAGTCAAATAAATTATAAATATCAGTAAGAGGCAACGAGGAGAGTATAATCATTAGGAAGCATAAGGAGATGAAAAGTGAAAGAAGAAAAACAACCACAACAAAAAACCATGACTAAGCCATTATAGTTTCAACATCTATTTCTGATCTTGTTCCAAAACTGGCAACTCCTCCCTGACCCATCCCAAAAACTAAGTGATTTGTAATTGTGCCACAGAGTGGAAAAATCCATCTTAATTTAAAAATGGCAATTAGATTTTGATCAACAAGCTTTTACCCAGGACCAACATTCCATCTCAGACATCTAAAGACACAGATTTTCAAAAACCCACAACGTGACACCAAAAAATTTAGTTCTCTTGTGCTTGCTCCATGACTTAGTTATAGCACAAGATATTAGGAGATTCATCTCTCCCTTGCCCCCTCTGCTAATAATAATAACAAATACAATTAAATTAAATAACACCAGTTCTTGAATGTCTTTGAACACTAAGATCAGCCTTAAAAGTGCCTATACTTTTCATGGTTGAATTTCCTATCTCATTAGTTCACCAACACACGAGTACTAAGCAATTGTCTTCTCACCTTAATGGTGTAAATTCTTTTGATGGCGTCTGGGTGTTTGCATGAAGCCGCAAGAGCATAGACTGTGTCAGTAGGAATTCCGCAAACGCCTCCATTCTCCAATAACTTTGCAATGGTTCTTACACCACTCGTCTGATGAGACTGAGATAAGATGCATGATGATCCTGAAATTCCTTCCATCCTTTTTCACTCTTGTTTCTGTGTGTAGAAAAAATATATATAAAAAAACAAGAGTCAACAATTATACATGTGATATCTATGCTGGTAATTCACACCTTTTCTGATAGGTTTTACTATATAAATTATACAACCATGCTGCTATTATTCTTCATGATGTAACATGTTAACACTACCAGAATTATTCAGTAAACCAAGATGTGTTGGGAATTAGCCCGAAAATTGCACATTTTTTTTTTTTTGACAATCTTTATTTTCCATTTCACGTTTGAAAACAACAATGTCGAAGAACATTTTGCGTTATTACATCTCAACTCTCAGTATACAAACAAAATTTTTTCACTCCTGTAGTCAGGTACTTATACTTTGAAATGATGGAAGGAGAGGAAGTATGTCTAAAATTGCACATTTTACTGTAAAATATCAAACATGGTAAATAGATGAATTGGAGATTTTTTCAAATTTGGCTGCGTTGCTTTAAAATCTGCAAATCAAAATAAACAACCATGAAATTGTATATATTGTAGGATATTATTATGTATGTTGTATTATATGATGTTATTATATTATTTATTATTACTTAAGATATACTCAACGTGTCTATACATTTTAGATTGCCTTAAAGCAACACTACAAGTGCCAGAACCACAACAGTGCGCTGTATTAGTTATGGTGCCACAGGTGCCCCAGCATGCCCTCATGGTAAGTAGTCAAAACATTATAGAATAATTTAACTTCTTACCTGGAGTACCACTCACTACTTCCAAAACCCCAGTCAGAGAGCAATACAGAGAGAATACAGTGATCAATTGGCAGGGACTACATTTTATGGTGATCTGATTTTTTTTTTTTAACCCCTGAGGATCAACTTTTATTTTTTGTAACCCTTATGGGTTCATTTTATTTGATTAATTAATTTAAATATATTAAAATTATATATTTAGCAAGCTGGGGTGGGTGGAAGTTAGTGGTAAATTGGGGAATTTGGTGTTAGGCGAACTAGGGGTTAACATTAAAAATAAAAGTAAAAAAAAAGTTTAAATAACGCTTTTTAAAAAAAAAGTTTAACCCCCCCCCCCTTTACCCAGTCCTAATAAAAATCAACCCCTTCCCTGCCAGTTGATCACTACCTACAGTGATCAAAATACAGATCACTGTGATCTGATTTTTTTTTAACCCCTTAGGGTTTAAAACCAAGTTTAAAAAAGTAAAAAAATACATTTAAAAATGCTCATTACCACTACACCTGAAACAAACTAGAGAGAAAAAATGATCCCACGCTAAGGTTCAAAATATGCCTTTTGAATTGCCCTGGGATGTCTTCTTTAAGAAATAATATGCCTTTATGGTGTAATTGTAATATGTAGCCTGCTCAAGTGCTCCAAAGTGGGACACGGATGCATCAAAACCCTCCATGAAAATTCACACTTAAAAACCTGAACTTGTCACGTCTCTTTTACAGCTCTGTAACTTCACAAAATAGTCTCTAGGTCATACATTGGGCAGATGGTTTTACTCAGAAGACTTAGCTGAGCATAATTTGTGGATTTTTATGACAGTGGTACATATCAAGTGTAAGAAATACTCAGCAAAAATGCAACATATATGTAAAAATGCTATTTTTTCCCCCCTCACCACAAATATTGACATAAATTGGTGAACAAATGGTGACCAGTTAAGGCACAATATACACCATATTAGATACACCGGGGTGTCTGCTTTATCAAATGAAAGCCCTTTGTCTGGTTATTTGAACAGTCACGCTGCTATAATACCCTAAATGAGACATAGGCCCATCAAATCCATCTAGGAAAATTCTAATTATAGAAACCGAAATAGCCTTGTCTCTTATATGGCATTGAAAAGTGCCAAAGGCATACAATTGGGGTATCGTTATACTCAGCAGATGTAGCTGAACACAAAATGGGGTTCTGTGCAGGAATAGCACACTCCAGCTTTACGAAATACACATTACAAAAACCTTGTTATTTGTGTAAATGCCAAAATAAAGTAAAAACACAATTTTACTCCAATATTTAGCAGAGATTGGCGATGAAATGGCTACGTAAAAAGTGTTCAACTAACCTTAGGTAAATAGCCTGTGATGTCTCCTTTATATAAATATATACTAGACAAACATACCAACTTCTAAAATTGTTGCAAATTGAACTTTTATTTTAGTCCTTGTATTTTATTGACCTGTAACTTTCAAAATAAGCAGAAATCCTAAACATATGATATACGCTATAAATCAAGACACATAAATTAATTTATTTTGAATCACTTTTTCTAAGCTGGACATATTATGCACATGCTATTATTGCCAAAACTGTGAAAAAAAAATTTTTTTTTTGTTTGTTTTTTGGCATTTTCTTTATAATTAATGAGAATGTATCTTTGTATATGTGACATCAAATTAAAGCCCTGTTTGCCCTCTAACAAACAAAGTATAGGTGTTGTTGCAATAAATGACAGAGATGTAATTGCGTTTGAACACAAACCGCAAAAAATGCAAAAACGGCTTGTGTCCTGAAGCATAAAACAAGCTTCTGAAGCTGTGTCCTTAAGGGATTACATATAAACCTAACATTGTAATATTATATGAAAACTGGAAACCTTCCATGAAACTCCATCAAACTTTTAAATCCTAAGCACTGTTCTGCTTTTAGCACAGTAAAGTATAGAAAATGCCTAAAATGGCTAAATTCCTGCTTTGTGACTTACCTGCTTTGTATAGTGATCTAGAGGATCTAGAGGATTGTTAGAGAGTGCCTGTCTTCACAATTGCACTCTCTAACAAAAGTCACTGGTTTATATGTAGAAGGAGAATTTTAAGATGGGTGGAGTAAAACATATTTTCCTCATTACCTTTGTCAGAAAATCATACCTCGCAGTCAAGTATCTGACCAAAAACATTTCCTCATTTGTCACCTGTTCATAATATTAGTGCTATTTTGAACATTGCTATTTTTACACTTTATCAGTTAGTGATGCCATTTAGATATTTCTAGTAACTTTCTCCTATAGGGAACTGAAACTTCTTCATTAATATTTAGATATATGCAATGTAGGAATGTTTTCTTTCCTGATTAATACAATACAGAGCAGGAGAGGTGAGTAATGCAATTTTATGTAATCATAATATTTACCACTATTCAAGTTTCCAAATGACATATTTAACATATTTAAAGGGACACTGTAGGCACTGTAACCATTTACTGTAGTTGAATTGATCATCGTGTCTGGGGTCCCCTGGCTCTGTCTCTCCATTCAGTTCTAAACCATTTTCGAGCAGTTTAACATTAAAAGTGGGTCCCTGACTTTCCTTTTCCTCGCTCCCACTGGAGGTGTAGCTAGGGCATTTCTTTGTAGCCACAGCAATTCATAGCGACAATAGGCTGTGTGACAGGCTGAAGGCGATCAGCTGACACTCTAAGCCAATCACAGCTACCCATTGCTGCCCAAGCTCTGGAGTGCTGAAGTTGCCTACTTCTGTCTTACCACTGTTTTAGAATCTGGGTGGATCCAGAATATTCACAACATTCTAAAAAATTTCAAATAAGTACCATAAGCACAACATTTTTTAGCAGTAGCAAAGTGTCAGCGCTTAGTCAGTAATCCCCAAAGATCAGTACATAGAGGTAGTCTTGATTTTCCAATGTACGTTACAAAGATACAAATAAACAAAATATAGTGTAACACTGTATCATTTATTAAGGAACAAAAATCCCCAACCCTTTATTGAGAACTCTTATGCAGTATACATCCTTGGTGGTCCATTTTCAAATCGTAGCTGTGTTAAAGTGATAGTTCATGCTGTGGCAGAACTTTTAATATATTTTTATTTTGAATTGTATCCGATCTTAATGTTTTAAGGCATATAGGAACAATAGAATGGGTCATAATGATAACAATTAACAATGAAATACTAAATAACGTTTCTCAATATGCATAAAAGCATTAGTTCCATTCCAAAATGTGTTAATGCCAATTCAACATATAATATTATTAATAATATAGTTACTTAGATTTGGTTTTAAATAATTTAAAATAATTAAAAGGGATCAGTGTAAGCAAGGATATTAGAGTATCGATATAGTTCTTAATTTCAGACCTCAAATAGTTAAGCACTAGTGATGTCCCGAACGGTTCTCGAACGGTTTGACGCGAACGGTTCCCCGCGAACTCATCATTGAGTAAACTTTGACCCTGTACCTCACAGTCAGCAGACACAATCCAACCAATCAGCAGCAGACCCTCCTTCCCAGACCCTCCCACCTCCTGGACAGCTCACTAAGAATGCAGCTTCCCAAAGAATGTAAAATGGATGCTGTCCAGGAGGTGGGAGGGTCTGGGAGGGAGGGTCTGCTGCTGATTGGCTGGAATGTGTTTGCTGACTGTGAGGTACAGGGTCAAAGTTTACTTGATGATGAGTCCGTGGCGAACCGTTCGTGGCGAACCGTTCGTGGCGAACCGTTCGGCGATCACTCACTATTAAGTACCTAAAACTTCAAGCCTCCTCTATACATACCTATTAAGATAAAATATAATGAAGGGGGCAGGGCCGGGCCGCCGAGCTGAGCGGTCGCAGGACAGATCAGCTCCTGCACAATATGACTTATTAAGCCTATGAATCGGTTTTCTTGGGGGAATAAATGGTCACCATCCACGACCCTCGATGCACACGGACTACTGGAGCTGAGGAGAGGCTTTCTCCTGGAGTTATAGTACCTCGGAGGAGAGGTCCCTGCTGTACCAGGTGGGAGCCTGCCTGGCGGTGAGTGGAATGGACGGCCGCCGCTCCACTATCCTGCCCAACGGAGCCCGACAAGCGCATGGAACATCGGCGGACCCGGTCCAAGTGACCCATACCTTACAGCAACACCCAAGTCCGGAGACACACCGGATGCATGGCGCTGGCAACCTGGCACGATGCACCACCCACGTGGACGGCACGGTGGATGAGACTGCTCACTGGGAGGAACCCCTCCACAGCCTGCCAT